AGAACATTTGTTTAGCAACAGCAAGGACCCTGGGTTCCATCCTCAGCACTGTGAAAGCAAGCAAACAAACGGAAGCAGGAAACTGAAGGAATAGAGCTGAAGAAATCATTTTGTGGTTCTGCTATGCTTCTGTCCTGGGCATTGCTGATTACTTCTGAGATTTCCCTCTGTCTTTCTGAGCTCCTTGATCATTTTACACCAAAAGGGTGCAAAGAGTGGAAGCAGATGGACTCTGAGGGCCACCACAGGGTGGTTCTTCCAGGGATCCCTACTCCTAGGCCAGAACTGGCAGCTGTGTGGATCCAGGGCCTCCAATGTGAAGAGATGGCTTTAGTCCCTTCTCCCACAGCCTACTTTTCCAGAGGAAGACTATATCTGAAGCTCTGTCTCTGTGCTATGTTTATGAGTCTCTTTCATTCAGTCATTCATTTTAAAGTCTTTACTGAGAAACTCTCCTGAGCCAGGCACCATCCTGGGTGCTCGACAGACAAAAATGCCTGCTTGCACAGGACTGCCATTCCAGAGAGGACAACGTATATTCGTTTCCTAGGGCTGCTGTAACAAACTGCCCCAAACTTGGGTGGCTTGAAACACAAATTTATTCTTCCACAGTTCTGGAGGTCAGAAGTCTGAAATCACAGTGTGGCAAGGGCCAGCCTCCCTTTAAAGGCTGTAGGGAAGAATCCTTACATGCCTCTTCTAGTTTCTGGCAGCCCCAGGCATTCCTTGGCTTGTAGCAGCATAACCCAATCTTTACTTCTGTCCTTACTTAGCCTTCTTTCCTGTGTAATCTCTGTATCATTACATGGTATCCTGCTATCTGTGTGTTTGTTTCCAAAGTTCCTTATTATTTTTATTTATTAAACATTTTTTTTTGCATTGCTCAGGATTGAACGCAGGGCCTCATACATGCTAAGCAAGTGCCCTACCACTTAGCTACACTGACAGCCCTTGACTTTATTTTTTTAAATTTTTTATTGTTGGTTGTTCAAAACATTACAAATTTCTTGATATATCATATTTCATACTTTGATTCAAGTGGGTTATGAACTCCCATTTTTACCCCATATACAGATTGCAGAATTACATCAGTTACACATCCATTGCCCTTGACTTTAGATTATGACCCACTTTAATCTAGTATGATCTCATCTTAACTTGATTAATTCTGCAAAGACCATTTTTCTGGACCACCTCTATCAGGTCCACTCTTGGCCTGTGAGAGCTTTCTCTTCTTACTTGAATAAATTCTACTCTTTACACTCAAAAAAAAAAAAAAAAAAAAAAAAGAAAAAAGAAAGAAAGGAAGAAAAAGAATTACTGAGGATGTAACAGTACCAAGAAAAAGAAAAAATAATAAGACCCTGTTTCCAATTAAGTCCCCATCCATGGGTCCTGAGGGTTAAGACTTGAATATATCCTTTGGAGAACATGATTCTACCCACATTAGGTGATACTCAGGATAAATAAGGAATCCATATAGCATGCAGCTTGTAGGTAACTCATGACATGATATGAATGAGGCAGAGAGGGAATGGGAGGGTCTGGGGCATTGAAGTTTTAGACATTGAAGGTACATTTGTGCTAAGACTTAAACAGGTGTGAAAGTGAACCGTGAGAACATCTGGGGAGAATGACCCAGATGGGGTGAAGCTGGTGCAGAGGGTTGGAGGTGAGAGAGCGTCTGCAGATTTAAGAAACTTCAAGGGTTGGGGTTGTGGTTCAGTGGCAAAGAAAAACCAGGGGATCTGGGAGTTCTATGGTGATGACATAGCCTTGCTGAAGTTGGCCCAGAAAGTGAAAATGTCCACCCATGCTCATGCAAGGCACTGGGTTTGATCCTCAGCACCACATAAAATAAGTAAAATAAAGATATTGTGTCCAACTACAGCCAGAAAGCTTTTTTTTTTTTTTTTTTTAAAGAAACTTCAAGAAGGCTGTGCTGGAAGAGTGAGGGGCAGGGAGTGCTAGGAAACAGACAGGTGGCAGGGGTGAGGGAGGCTTGGATACAGCTCATGTAGATCTTTGTTGCCATAGTAGTTCAGATTCCAGCATTCTCTCTCACGGGATAGCCCCTCAGCCACAGGATTGGTGACTTCCCTCCTCCCCATCAGACATCTATGCCATCGGGGTGGGCAAGCTGGATGTGGACTGGAAAGAACTGAATGAGCTGGGGTCCAAAAAGGATGGTGAACGGCATGCCTTCATTCTGCAGGACCCACAGGCTCTGCACCAGGCTTTTGAACACATGCTGGGTGAGTGAGTTTTGTCTTCCTGGTGTTGGGGAGAATGGTGGGGAGACAGTGGGGGGCCCATATTGGGAACCTGGGCACAATACCCCTCCCTTGCCTCCTTCTCAACCTGATCCTCACACTTACAGATGTCTCCAAGTTCACAGACACCATCTGTGGGGTGGGGAACATGTCAGCTAATGCCTCCGACCAGGAAAGGACACCTTGGCATGTCACTATTAAGGTACCAGGAAAGAGGGGTGGGCTTGGATCCCGGAGGTGAAAGCAGCTATAGGCCAGAGACACTGCAGTTTCTGAATATCACTTATTCCCTGCAGCCCAAGAACAACGAGGCCTGTCGGGGGGCTCTTGTCTCTGACCAGTGGGTTCTGACAGCAGCTCACTGCTTCCACAATGCTAAGGACCGCTCCCTGTGGAGGGTCAATGTGGGTAAGGCAGGGGCTTCACCAAGTTCCTGACCCCAAGGCCAGAGCGCTGGTTACCCGTCCCCAGCCTCTGGCCCCTTCAGGAGCCCTGATTCAGCCTCATCCACTGTATCATTCCCAGGGGATCCCAACTCCCAGTGGGGCAAAGAATTCCTTATTGAGAAAGTCGAGATCTCCCCGGGATTTGATGTCTACGGAAAGAAGGACCAGGGGATACAGGAGTTCTATGGTGATGACATAGCCTTGCTGAAGTTGGCCCAGAAAGTGAAAATGTCCACCCATGCCAGGTGCTTGATCCTAGGACAGGAGGATGCCCTGCAGGGGAGAGTGCTCTGGGGAGCCCCAGGATACTGAGGATGGGCTGTGTGACACTCACCCTTCTCTCCAGGCCCATCTGCATTCCCTGCACAGTGGAGGCCAACATGGCTCTGCGGAGACCCCAACGTAGTACCTGCCAGGACCATGGTGAGTGCTGAGGTTTAGAGTTTGTAAAGAGCTGGGGCCAGAGCCTGGGGGTGCTAACAGGGACTAGACTTCTGTCTCCAAGCCAGAAGTCTGACTGGTGGGTAAAGGGACCTACAATCAACATCCCCTTCTCTTTGATGGCAGAGACAGAACTTCTGAACCAACAGAGCATCCCTGCTCATTTTGTGGCCTTGAATGGGAGCAAACTGAACATTAACCTCAAGACAGGGGAAGAGGTGAGGGTCTTAGGTGGTGGTGGTGGGGTTCTGGGGTCCCACTCAAGCCAGATCACAGAATGGTGCTCTTCCTCCTCTAGCTCCGGCTGCTTTTTCCACCTCACTTAAGTCACCCCTCCTCCCAGGCTTAGTGTTCTGCCAAGTGTCCCTAGGCCACTCATTTCATTCTTCCTTCCTGCTCCACCTCTACTGCAGAGGTCAGACTGTATCAAGGTAGTCTCCCAAGACAAAATAAAGTTCCCCAACTTGACGGATGTCAGTGAGGTGGTGACAGATCAGTTTCTATGCAGTGGGACCCAGGAGGATGACAATCCCTGTAAAGGTGAGCACCCCCCATGTCTGGATTTCCCAAGGAAGGGCCACAGTGTCCCTGTGGCCAGCATGCATGCCAGGACGCCAGCACCTGCCCTGGATGACACTGTCTCTTGTTCATCTTGCTGGCAGGAGAATCTGGGGGAGCAGTTTTCCTTGAGCGGAGGTTCAGGTTTTTCCAGGTGGGTACAGGGAAGCTCACAAGGCTGGCTACAGGAACTCAGCCTAGCTGGGGCAGGGGTGGTGGTGGTGGTGGTGAGGGAGGTCTCTGAAGGAACCATGGGAGTCAGGGCTCAGAGCTGGGGCTGTGGCGTCTTTCTACTTCATTTTTCCTTTCTTTCAGGTGGGCCTGGTGAGCTGGGGTCTCTACAACCCCTGTTTTGGTGCTACCAACAAAAACTCCCGCAAAAAGCCTCCCCATGGTGCCCCACCACCCCGAGACTTCCACATTAACCTCTTCCGCCTACAACCCTGGCTGAGGCAGCATCTGGAGGGTGTTCTGAATTTCTTGCCCCTCTAATCATGGCCACAAATCCCTTGGCTATCTTGCCAGGATCTGCCTTCTCTCCTATCTCCTACCCCTGAACACCTACCCTCAGACCCTGTGGCCCATCCTCAATTCTAGCTGTGTGAATTCAGGAGCCCAGACACAGCAAGCACAAGCAGGAAGGTCCCCTGGGGTGCTGGCCAGTGTGTCTGCCCGCTGCACCCTCCCCTCCTGCTCCTGCTCAAATCCCTCCCCCTGGTAAACATAACGTGTTCCTTTCACTTTCACATGAAATTTCCCAGTTATGAAATTAATAAAAATTGATGATTTCCACATCTGTCTGTACCTCTGCCTGGGGGATGGGGAGGGCAGAATGATTCCAGGAAGGTCAGAGACCCTGCTGGACAAACAGCAGCTGGACTCTGCCCTATAACACAGTCAACAGGGGAACCAGCTGGGGGACTATTTCTGGTCTCTAGCTAGGGTGGTCTGGGATTGTTGGGGAGAACCTGGAAGCTGACATGAAGTGTCAAAGGGGAGAGTCCCAGACCTTGGGCAGCAAAGGGTGGGGCTTGTGTAGTTTCTGTTTCTTCAATTGGCAGCTCAGTGGGGCCCTCCTGCTTGAACATTCCCGGAAAGTGATGTGTATAGGGAAGGCCGGACAAGCTGCAGGTGCCAGAACAGATTGCATAAAAGGCTGGGGATTGGTGGGGAAGGGAGTGCCACTAGACTTAGGTCTAGAGTTTCAGCTTGGACACTGAGCCAAGCAGGCATACAGAAGGAACCTGGAGAAGCCCTCCTGACCCCAGCTCGCCCGCTTCTCTCCTGCCTTCTATCACCATGGGGTGCCATCTCAGCCCCCACCTCTGTCTGGTATCTTTGGTCTTGGGCCTCTTGCCCAGAGGTAAGAAAGGGTCACCCCCACCCTCCTGCTGCCCCCAGCATTCTTCCTTGACTTTGTAGGGCCAAGCTTCACCAGTATTTCTTTTCAGGTGTGAACACAATTCCATTGCTGGCCCAGCCCCAAGGCTCCTGCTCTCTGGAGGGGGTAGAGATCAAAGGTGGCTCCTTCCAACTTCTCCAAGAGGGCAAGACCCTGGAGTACATATGTCCCTCTGGCTTCTACCCATACCCTGTCCAGACACGCACCTGCAGATCCACAGGGTCCTGGAGTTCCCTAAAGACTCGAGACCAAAAGATTGTCAAGAAAGCAGAGTGCAGAGGTTAGAGGCAGTGAGAACAGGGATGTGCTGAGACAGGGGATGATGGGGCAGGTGGTAGCCAAGGTCAGCAGCCCTTGGGTGAGATTAGAGCTGTGTTGAGGCCAGCAGCCCAACAGGTTTGGCTAAACAGGGTAAGGGGCAGCCCTAGGGGTGCAGGTAAAAATCTGGGAGGCAGGGGGGCTCACCTTCACTAAGCATTTGCCCTGTATCTGGCAGCCGTGGCAGTGAAGAGAATGCTCAGGAATTGGGAGCAGACCAGCAGACCAGGGACTTGCTGTTTCTCAGTGACAAGGTCTCTGAGAGCAAGAGGGATACCCTGAAGATAGCCCTTCTATCTTGATGACTTTTACTTGTCCTCCTCCCCAAAGCGATTTACTGCCCAAGACCTCAGGAATTTGAGAATGGGTACTACTGGCCCAGGTCTTCTTATTACAATGTGAGCGATGAGATCTCTTTCCAATGCTACCATGGATACATTCTCCGGGGCTCTGCCAATCGCACCTGCCAAGTAAATGGCCGGTGGGATGGGCAAACAGCAATCTGCGATGATGGAGGTGAGAAGCTTGCCTGCTCCTGTCGACCACACTCTCTCCCTTACACATCCATCCCCAAGGAACAGGCATCACAACTGTTCTCTGACCTGCCCTCTCGGCCTCTGCAGCGGGGTACTGCCCAAACCCGGGCATTCCCATTGGCACAAGGAAGGTGGGAAGCCAGTACCGCCTTGAAGACACAGTCACTTACCACTGCAGCCGGGGGCTTACCCTGCGTGGCTCCCAACAGCGAAAATGCCAGGAAGGTGGATCTTGGAGTGGGACAGAGCCTTCCTGCCAAGGTGAGTCTTGACTTGGGCTCCCAGGTCAGATCCTACTCTCCAGTCCTAATGTTCCCACAGCAAGGCACTGTCTCCTTCTCTCTTCAACCCAGCTTCTCCTCACTTCTTCCAAACTCTGTAGAGCTTTCTCACTTCCAAGCCTTTCCCATCCTAGAAAGGCATCATCCTGTCTTTCTGGTCACTGTCCTTGACCCTTCAGCTATTTGACCTGAGTTCTGACCTTTCCCAGACACCTTCATGTATGACACCCCTCAAGAGGTGGCCGAAGCCTTCCTGTCTTCCCTGACAGAGACCATAGAAGGAGTTGATGCTGAGGACGGGCACAGCCCAGGTTTGAGCAGAGTTGGGAGGAAAAGCAAGGAATTGGGGGAGTTGCAGGAGAAACATGCATCCTGAATCCTGAGTCTCTCTGCTGGCATCCAGGGGAACAACAGAAGCGGAAGATTGTCCTGGATCCCTCAGGCTCCATGAACATCTACCTGGTGCTGGATGGATCTGACAGCATTGGGACCGGCAACTTCACAGGGGCTAAGAGGTGTCTCGCCAACTTAATTGAGAAGGTGGAATCCCCTTCCCCTTGAATGTGGGGATCCTGACTGGACCTTGCTGCCCTTCCAGGACTAAGTTCCTTTGTGCTCCCTGTCTCTCTGAACCACAGCATCCCATTAAAATCTCCAGGTCCTATTCTGTCCTTTCCTTTTAAGGTGAAGTGGTAATTTAATGCTTGGCACAGCCTCCTCCATGAACTTCAGCCTGAGCTTCTTACTGTGGTCTTTCTGTCCCAAAAAAGGTGCTGAATTTTTCTAACTATAATATTGTACTTTCAATGCCATGACCTCTTACTCTTCTCATTCACAGATAGCAAGTTATGGGGTGAGGCCAAGATATGCTCTAGTGACATATGCCACAGAACCCAAAGTTGTGATCAGAGTGTCTGATCAAAAGAGCAGCGATGCAGACTGGGTCACAGAGAAACTCAACCAAATCAGTTACGAAGGTCAGAGGTTAAGAAAGGGAAGCTCTCAGGTTAACTGGGGGGTCAGAGAAGTCAGAAGCCTCAGAGATATTATGGGGAAAGGGGTAGAGGGGGCAGGGGCAGGTACCATACATTGTAGTTAAAGATGGATGGCAGGGTTACTGGGTAATGGGGGTTAGTGGGGACATATTGGGTGCTGATAGGGCAATTTTGTAGTCAAAGGGATGACAATCCACAAAGATGAAGGATGTGGGATCTCAGTTGTGATAGGCTCAAGGATGGCTTGGAAGACCAGGTGAGGTGATGACCTTTTCCCTTTCTACAGACCACAAATTGAAGACAGGGACTAATACCAAGAGGGCCCTCCAGGCAGTGTACAACATGATGAACTGGGCAGGAGATGTCCCCCCTGAAGGCTGGAACCGTACTCGCCACGTCATCATCCTGATGACTGATGGTCAGAAGGGACCTTTTTCCTACCCAGACTCCCCACCCTCAAATCTACATGTAACACTTGAGTTGGGGTCCTGAACACTGCTCATAGCTGGCTGTTGAGTTTTCCAATGACCCTTTTAAAGGTGGGATCCTTCTCCCCAAGGCCTTCTATGATCTGTCACCTCCATCCCATCTCCAACCTGCTACTCAGCTATGTGTGTTGTCACTGCCTTCCCCAATTAATGTTTTTTGATTCTTTTCCTCTCCTGCCCACATGGTCCTTGTCTTCTCTGCAGGCTTGTACAACATGGGTGGGGATCCAGTCACTATTATTGGTGAGATCCGGGACTTGCTGGACATTGGCAGGGATCGCAAAAACCCAAGGGAGGATTATTTGGGTAAGTGACCTGCCAAAGACCTAGCATCATGCTTTCTCAGGGCCTGGACCCTTACTCTGCCTTTTCCTTCCTTAGACGTATATGTGTTTGGGGTCGGGCCTCTGGTGGACCAAGTGAACATCAATGCTTTGGCTTCCAAGAAGGACAATGAGCAGCATGTGTTCAAAGTCAAGGACATGGAAAATCTGGAGGATGTTTTCTACCAAATGATTGGTAAGAACATACAAAAGCATAAGACGAATATTAGGAAACTCAGATCTCATCAAGTTGCTCATTTCCCTCTACCTCCTCCTCCTTCCCTCCCTTCCTTCCTTTCTGGGGATAGAATCCAGGGCCTCACACATGCTAGACACGCATTCTACAACTGATACTTCCCAGACCTTGGAAACCTTTTCTCATTCCTCTATGTCACTGTTCTTGTTTCCTGCCACTGTCCACTTCCTGATCTTAGAATTACAGCAACATCAGGACTTTCTACTTCATTTTACAAATGTGGTAATTGATACTAAGGGAATGAAAGCTAGCAACAAAAGTGGGTCTGAAAACAGCAGGTCCCTGATTTGGTCCCAAGGCCTTTCACTACCCCAGTGTTTTCTTGTTTCCTAACATAACAAATGCTCTCAGCCTTTTTCTCTATGTGGGCTTCTGTTCCCCATAGACATGCGGGGTGGGGGGTGGGGATTCCTTCTGAAATGGCTGCTGCCACTTGGGGATGAAAGGTCTCTAGCTTTCAGCACACTTTCCTTTCGGCTAGATGAAACCCAGACTCTGGGGCTCTGCGGCATGGTTTGGGAACACAGGAAAGGTACTGATTACCACAAGCAACCATGGCATGCCAAGATCTCAGTCACTGTAAGTACTATATCCTAGTAGGTACTTGTGGGAGGGGAGGTGGAAGGGGCAAAGAGGGCAGAGGAAGAACAAAATATGCACATCAGACTGGCTTTTCCCCCTTCACTGTTCTGTTCCCAGCGCCCTTTGAAGGGACATGAGAATTGTATGGGGGCTGTGGTGTCTGAGTACTTTGTGCTGACAGCGGCACACTGTTTCACTGTGGATGACCAAAAACACTCAATCAAGGTCAGCGTGGGTAAGGATGCAGCAGATGGGCCCTGAGCTCCGGCCATACCTCCCACTTCCTTGCCACCCCGAACTCTGCCCTTCTCTCTAAAAAGTTAGGGGTAGGGAAAACCAGAAGTCAGGATGACACTGGGTCAGAGTCAGGAGGCTGCCCTCTCTTCCCCCATCAGGAGGGAAGAGGCAGGACCTGGAGATAGAAGAAGTCCTATTTCACCCCAACTACAACATCAATGGGAAAAAGGAAAAAGGAATTTCTGAATTTTATGACTATGATGTTGCCTTGATCAAGCTCAAGAATAAACTGAAGTACAGCCAGACTCTTAGGTGAGAGAATCTGGGTGCCTGAGGAAAGGAGGCTGGGGAAGGTGGGCTGGAGGACAGGGGTGCAGGGCAGGCCATTTGCTGCTCCTGACTGTCCTCACCTCTGTAACAGGCCCATTTGTCTGCCCTGCACCGAGGGAACAACTCGAGCTTTGCGACTCCCTCAGACAGCCACTTGCAAGCAACACAGTAAGGCATATTCTGGGATGGGACAAAGATAAGACTCCAGGAGATGTGAGGGGGAGGTGTAGTAGGAGCAAATGATGCCTAGCTCAGGAAGGGCTTGAAGGACATCTGTTAAGACAGAAGCAATGGGGTGGGAGGGGAGAACTGGAGTAACCCAGTCTGTCCACCTGTTCAGAGGAAGAGCTGCTCCCTGTCAAGGATGTCAAAGCAATGTTCGTTTCTGAGGAAGAGAAAAAGCTGACTCGAAAGGAGGTTTACATCAAGAATGGAGATAAGGTGAGGAATGGGGAAATCCTAAGGTCCTCTAGGCCTGTCTTAAGTCGGCTTTGTTCATTATCCCTTTCTCCCCCATGCTCCCCTTTAGAAAGCCAGCTGTGAGAGAGATGCTCAATATGCTCCAGGCTATGATAAAGTCAAGGATATCTCAGAAGTTGTCACCCCTAGGTTCCTCTGCACTGGAGGGGTATATCCCTATGCTGATCCCAATACTTGCAAAGGTGAGAGGAGTCTGGTTCTTATAAGTTCCTGAGGCCCAATAGTCCTTTCCCTAAAGCTTCTCTCCTACAGGTGACTCTGGTGGTCCTCTGATTATTCACAAGAAAAGTCGCTTCATTCAAGTGAGTACTCCCTTTCCTATTTGTGGGGAGATGCTAAATGGTCAGCATGGACCCCAAAGCAGGAAAGCTCACTGAACATAGCTGGTAACAGAAGGACAGAGCCCGCCTAACCTTAGAGTTAGTCTCTGAACTGATCACTTTAGCGTTATGTGTCTGGCCTGCAAGGCAAGAACAGGGTTGAGCTGGATATCTAGTCTCATTCCCTTGGATCAGCTCAGATGCACTTGGGATAACCATGCTTCCTGACATTAGGATGAAACTCTACAAAATGATCCATAGCATCCCCTCACCTCTGCAGGTTGGTGTGATCAGCTGGGGAGTAGTGGATGTCTGCAAAGACCACAGACTGCAACAGCAGGTACCTGCTCACGCCCGGGACTTTCACGTCAATCTCTTCCAAGTGCTGCCCTGGCTCAAGGAGAAACTCAAAGATGAGGATCTGGGTTTTCTATGAGGGTTTTCCTGCTGGAAAGGGGCATGGGATCAAATTAAAACAGCTGCAATAATAACTGTGTTCCAGATCCTTGTGGGGTAAAGGAGCGGGGGATGTGTACTGACGATGTTAACAACTGAAATATAATCTGACAGCCGTTTTTAAAGGCTTAACCCCAATCCCAAGTGCTGAAAAACCAGAGGCTGAGGAAGGTGTGTGAGCTTCCACCTCAGTGTTTTACTGAGACCAGCATTGGGGGCGTATGAGGCACAAGGAATCCAGCTCCATTCCCTAGAAGTCATCCACAAGGTTTTCCTCATAGACATCATCATTGTAGACAATCTGGGTCCTCTTGTCCCGATGGCAACCCTTAGGGCTATTCTGGACAGCTAGAGAGGGAAAAGAGTAACAATTAAGGTTTGAAGGAGATCATGAGTCAGACCTGAGGCCTAGAGCCTGACTATCTCACTCTGGCCTCTGTCCCCAGGAAGCCCAGTTCTCATGCTGCCCTCTGGTGGACAGGATGGCCTGTCTCCTCTTAGCTCCTTCAGGTTGGTTGTGGTCAACCTATCACAATCGAGAGTGTGATGTTATTGCAGAGCATGTGGCTATTGTGATGAATGTTTTGTTCTTAGAAAATCCTCAAATGTTATCATTACTGAGACATGTGAATGATGTTAACCTACTGCTTTTAGTCAATACATCAAAAATTAAAAATCAGAAATCTGTAGCCCTTTGTTGATCAATTCTGGATCCTTCCTAGTGTCCAAATCCTACCTCCTGCTTACTTCTTTCCCAGGAAAATCTATTTTCAGGTAAAATGGGTCATTCACAGTAAGAAATGTTACTGGCCCCACCAGAACTCCTTTAAGGGGTAACTTTGGCTCTCAGCATACTCTCTTGAGCCTCTGGTCCTTTTTTCCCTTTCTCTTTCTTTCCTTCATCAGGATTCCATCCCTCCTACCTGAGGGCTAGAGCAAGTCTCTCCACACCAACTCCCATTCTCTTGGGTCTCCTACCACTGACCACTTATCCCTCTTGAAGCCTGTGTCCTTTGGCTTTAGTGGCCTAGGGTCTCTGATGCTGTTCCTAGTGTTGGACACTTCTTGTTTTCTTTGCTGAATCCTCACCCTAACATGTCAGGGCTGCTAGGGACATGTAGGGCACAAGAAGCCTGGTCCACCTTCCTAACATATTCCCTGAACAGTCCCCAAATTAGTCCTGGGTCACTCTTTTCTCCAAAATCAGTTTTCCTAATGATACTATCATTTTGTAGCCATCCCAAGATGCAAATGACTCGAAACCATTTTTATTCCTCACTTCACATTTGAGTTCTGGACTCTTAATTTCAAAGTTTCATGAAGCCTGCTGTATTCCAGCTCAGAATGCACAAGTCTCATGAACTGTTCATCTCCCTACTAACCTGACTTTGGCTCCCACTTTCTTCCCTGTTCCAGTCATTGCTTTGGTTTCAATACTCTTCTCTCCTCCCCTTACCCCTAGCTGATGGAGGGCCTGGCAATTCTCCTTTCTATTCCCATAGCCTCCATAAAAATTCTGACCATTACTACCTCTAAGGAATCCAGGGATATGCAAGGGAACAAAAAGGGATAGTTTGTGGGGGGAATGAGGAAGATTCCTGTTCTTACCAAGGGAGCCCCAGAGAGACTTGCCAGTAGCAGCATCCAGCATGGGCTGTTTTCGGGCTATGTTGACTTTGAGCTGTACGGACTCCACCTGGGTCCCGTTGAGCTGTAGTAGAAGATGATAGGGTACAGAGGATAGGGGAAACATTACAGATAACCCAGAGAAGCTATTCCAGGGGCTACTATCCTAGAAGCAGATAAATAAGGATCTGAAATTATAAGTTTTTCTGTGTGACTAGAAAGAGACTTCCTGTCAAAAGGAACCAATTTCCTCCTGGCTTTCAAGTATTTTAAGAAGAAAACATGAAGCTGGCAGAAGGGATGGGAAGAACAGGTCTGGGAAGTCCCAACCTCGGCAACGGCCTGATCTGCTGACTCCATCTTTTCATAGGTGACGAAGGCACAGCTGGGATGAGAAAAAAACAGAGTCAGTAGAAGGCCTCTGGGCTCTGCTGGACCCAACCAAACCCAGTGCTCACAGGCTGCTGGAAACAGGGCAGCTTCCTCCCCTAGGCCTTACATCCCAGGTCTTCTTATCATGCCCTGTGGCCATCCTTACTTTCTGGGTGGGTCCATGGAGAGGTCAATGATGTTTCCAAAGGGAGAGAAGGCCCCTCGGAGGAGAGTGGGTGTCATGTCTTCTCCATACACGTACAGAGTGTTCCCCTTCCGAGGGGCCCGGCGTTCAGGGAATGAGTCTGACCCTATGGGATTCGCAATCAGTCACAAGACAGTCCATTTCACCTTCCACCTTAGTGGCACCCACCCAAGTCTGAGCTGAGATCACCCATCCTGCCAGCCAAGATCACTCACTGCGGAAAGGGCCCTCTCGGTCTCGGTCTCTATCCCTGTCCCGGTCTCGATCTCGATCTCTATCCCTGTCTCTATCTCGATCTCGGTCTCTGTCTCGATCCCGGTCCCGATCTCGATCTCTGTCCCGCTCCCGATCTCGGTCTCTGTCCCGGTTCCTCTCGTGGCTGCGGTCCCGGCTTCGGGGAGGGGAGGTTGAGGAGCGAGCACTGCCACGTTCTTCATAGCCCCAGTCAAAGCTTCGAGGGGGACCATCACCAGACGCTGGGCCCTCTGCTTCTTCTCCATCTGGCCCTAGTTCCCAAAGTCTATCACTAGAAGATACAAAGCTGAAGAGAAACAGACAATATAATTCAAAGAGGGCCTTTACTTCCTCCTCCCAGACCCTGTGGAGACTCAACACACCCTCCACAAACTATTTTTTTTTTTTTTAACTCCAGTCCCAACCATCCCAAGGACTAGGCAATCAACCCCCACACTGAGTGGGACCCAGTCTAGTTCTCTAACCTCTCATACAAAGATTTCCTCTGGGGACGTCTGGATGACTGAAAAAGAAACCAAGAATAGTTAATATGGGGTCTCTCGTCTTCCTCAATCCCCAGCTCAGGGATGGCAAATTGGAACCATTACCTCCTGCAGGTCATCGTCAGCAGATATACTCCTCTGGAAGGGCTGGAAAGTAGGGACTGGCCCCTTCTCAGGGTCCTGAAGAGGTGGTAGAAGCCTATGTCAGTGTTGGAACAGGAGGCTGCCTAACCATGAGACAGAGGGGCTACTCTTCCCTCACTCTCTTCTTGACTTCTGATCTTTTCTTTTAATGCTACATATACTTCTTATCTGATTGTGTGTAGTTTTTAAAATAAATGACCTGACATACATGTAAAGTACCTGGTTTAACCGCTACCTTGAATCTGATGATGTTTTCAGCCTGTTCAACTTCTTGGAGCAACACATTTTAAGAGCTCTAACCTCACGTGGATTAGAATCACAGAATGTATAAAACAGAGAAGACAATAGGAGTCACCTAGTTTTTTTTCACTTTACAAATAAGAAACCTAAGGCTCTTCCCACGTGTGGTGGGTCACACCTACAGTCCAGCTATTGGGAAGCTGAGGTGGGATCCCTTGTGCCCAAGAGTTCAATATCAGCCTGGGCAACATAGGGAGACCCATCTCAGAGAGAAAAGAAAAGGAAAAAAAAAAAAAAAAAAAAGGAAACCCCAAAGCTCAGTTGGTACAATAAGTTGCCCATGTCTAAATATGCATTGTTTTCCCCCTAAACCTATCTCCCTTCTAACTTGGAGAGATGCTCTCTGAAATCAAAGGTCCCAAGAACAATCCTGCTTGTGCACACCTTTAGCTTTCCCTCTAGGGTTCGAGAACGTTTGAAGCCTGAGTTCTTGGTCTCAGCTTTGATGGCACTGATAGCCCCTGACTTCACCAGTTGCTTTGCCTGCTCTGTTGCTGTAGCTGTGTCCACCACAGGCTGCTCTGACAGTGCTGGAGTAGTGAAGGAAACAGACATTATGTTGGCTGCGGTACAGGTCAGGCCCACACTGCCCACTTCTAATCCTCTCCATTTCCTGTCACTCACAGCGTTTGACGCCACCTTGGCTGGCTGTGCTGCTGCTACTTTGCTTCTTCAGAGCCAGCAATGCCTTTTTCTGTGAATGATGAGAAGACAGTGGTCAGTCAGGCCAAGTCTTTTCCCAAGGCCCCTGGGTACAACACTCCAGGGACACCTTCCTTGAAGAAGACAATGCAAATGGTACCCCTGGAGTGGTGCATTGAGGTATCCCTGCCTCTCATATCTGATCCCCCAAATCATGTACAATACCAGCAATACTTAACCAAACCATGGTATCCAGAGGCTTTCCAGAGTCTCACATTTTTTAAGTTGATGAAAATGAATCCAGTCATGGATTGGAGCCCCAGGATATAAGTTGCAAGTAAGTATAAGCCTATGTGCCTTTGTGGGGGTGTTCACCTACCCATTCCTTACATATTTAAGGAAGTCCAGACATGACTTTGTAACAGAGATATACAGAAGTAAATACATGGTTCCTATGCTTAACAGTCCAGGAGATGAAATGACTAGACTGAAAGCCAAGAATGATTATAAAAGATGTAGATTACTTGTAGCTGAATACAAATAAGACTTTCTGATGCTTATGTGGCTACTAAACTGGGCCCCGAGTAGAATCGAAGCCAACACAAATAGAAAAGTATTTTAGACAAAGAAAACAAAGATGCAGAGAAAAGACGGTTTCGGGGAATGAATTCTGAGTAGTAAACAGTTATGCTTGATTAGACAGCAATGTCAACCTAAGGTTTTGGGGCTTTGTTGTATACATGTGAAATCACTCATGAATTTTGAGGACAAAATAGATCATTTTAATAGGAGTGAATGTTTGTTCAAAAAAAAAAAAAAAAGACTGAAGACCATTCTAACAGCCTAGGTGCAACGGTGTGCAATGAGAAATTCATGGGAATGAATAAACAGGATAAATTACTTTGAAAGAAGAATCAAGAAGACTTGGCACACTGAACATGGTGGTGTGTGCCTGTAGTTCAGCAACTCA